GTATATATTTGATGTGCAAAACATGCCCACAATATTTTTTTTCTTCAGAATTCATATTTGTACTTACTTGCAGACACGAGATTTGAAGTGTAATGTTTGCCAAGAGCGACACAGATGCTGTGAATGGTCGATGACTTGAACCCAGTCTTTCTGGTCCATAGACACTTCAATGTAGTATGAATATGACCTAAAATAAACCACAAACAATAAACAAATAATTACAGTAGATAAGAACGTATGATGTGGAAAGAGTTTCAATTGGTTCTGGTCGTGTAACTTGGTATTTTGGGCCAGTCCCTTGGAGACCTACTCCAATTGTGTTCTTTTTAGTGGGCATGGTTTTGGGTTTTCCGGAATTCAACACATATAAGTACTAAGAATTTTTTTTCCCAGTAATTATGCTGATGCTGATTACTTTATTTCCACAAAATTTCAGAAACTCAATGCTCACTTGCTTTATGGAAACAAGCGTCCATCAATCAGGTTTCCATACATCTAAATTTCATTCAAATGATGTGACCAAATCTACTAAAGCTTGGTTTCCATGCAATCCCTACACGCTATCGCCGAAAGCATTCGGTGATGCTGATTGTTCAGTCAAAACGTTGAGCCTTCCTGATTGCATCGGGGACTGTTCTACGCACAGTACAATTGCACTGAAAACACTGTAGCGATAGTGTAGCGATTTTAAGAAACCAGGCTTGAGAAAAATATTAAGATAATCCAATTGAAGCTTATAGTGTGATCTATGATTTATAACACCTGCCTTAAGAAATAAACTGAAATAAATTAAATGGAAATATTGCGATAAGCATGCCAGAATAATAACCGGTCCATACCCTTTCACAGAGCGCCTTTCTTTACCACAATATTGCGGTAACCTTATGCTTATTGGGGCAATTGTTTTCAACTTTAACCTTGTCTGTTTATGCATAAATGCACATGCCGGCTTGATTACCGCAATATCGATTAGACCCTTTTCAGACAGAGCAAGCCAGTAACCGTTACCGCAATATTGCGGCAATATCACTAGGGTGCATGGCGGCCTAAAGTAAGCCGACATATTGGCATATCGACCCTTTCAGACAGAAACTCATGCCGGCGTGCTTACCTCAATATTGTGGTATTGAGGCTCTGTTTGAAAGGGGCTTAAAAACTTTAATCCCACTATTTCCCATGTTTCTCTAGAATAAAAGTAAAATAAAAAGTTGTGTTCATTTAATCATGACTATAAATCCATTACGCAAGTTTGTTTACCTCATATCTCGGTCCCACAGTAGCATCTTAATGGTGTTGATAAGCGATGGCTTCCCTAGCTTGATGATAATTCCATCTTTCTCAACATCCTTAGCATCATCAATAGGATGTCTAGTGAACCCCCTATCTAGGTCATAATTTGTATGGTCTCCATCCAGCAGGTGGGCTTTCATCTCACCTTTTATCACCTCAGCATCATATTTAGCATTGGCGATGTTTTGTTCTGGAACTGTTAAAAGTAAAAATTGAATGAGTGAGTTGACGAATACAGATTAAAAAAACTAAAAATTAATCGATATATGGACATCATCATATTTCAAACAAAAATAAAATTTTATTTTTGGCCAAACAGCGCACCTGTCGCCACAAAAATTGGAAATTAAAGAAAAAAAATTTTTCTTTATTTTTATTACACCCATCGCTCTTTAGAAATCTCCAAAAATAAGATATATGTATATTTCTTCTTAATTATACATTTGAAGAATTTAACCATCTCATTACTACATAAATTCATCAATAAAGACAAACAAATAATTACACAAACAAATACACAAACAACTTAGTACCAAGGCCACACCTCAAGGGATATTTTTTACATGCCATCTTCAATTTTTTGACAGATGTTTCTGTTTTTGATCATTCTAATTATGAAGTGGATATGTACACCTTAAATAAAGACATTGCTATTAATTACTATTATTTATACTAATATCTCCAAAAAAATATATAAAACAATGGTTCCAGATTTTAAGAGCGCTAACGTAGCTACAAACAACACCTAGAATAAGGGGCCAATATATTGTCACAGACCAGCCAGTCAGGGGCAAAGTTATTGTCATAGAGAATCCAGACAGACCAACTGTCTAGGGATCTTTGATTTCCCGATATGCTAGCCTAAGCTTGAGAATGAAAGGTAAGGTCTTTAGGGGTGAACTAGGTCAATTTTGATTGGTTATTTGAAGGAGGTAATTGGTAGATTACTGATGAATTATGGTAAATTCACTTAAAGGTGTCTGACGGAAATAAGTAAAGTTTAAATGACATCAAGCAGATAAGACTAAAGTATGCTCTAACAGGGGCGGATCCTGAGATGTCCAAAAGGGGGGGCCGAAAGGGGGCCGAAATTTGGGCCGATCGAGACAACAATGTACTAGGGGGTCCGGGGGCATGCCCCCGCGAAATTTTTGTGTTCTAGACGGCCGAAAATAACATTTGAGGCGTTCTGGGCTATCATTTTTTTTCTTTTTCTTTCTTTTTTTCTTTCTTTTTTCTTTTTTTACCTCCCAAAAGGGGGGGGCCGGGGCCGGGCCGGCCCCCCACCAAATCCGCCCCTGTCTAATAATCAACTGAAAAATTTATTTATTTTAGCACTTGGGGGCTGTTGTCAGCAAAACCCCTATATACAGAAAAAGATAAATCATCTTATAATGAACACCATTAGTGTTAATGGCAAATTTGATCCATCATTTGTAATGACAAATCAAAATATTTTAACACATCTGTTTCTGGTTAGATATTAGTCATGTGACTGATAAGAATAATTGAATCCCTGCATATTTACACAAGTCAATAATTAAATTATATGACTAATATAATTAATTTATATCCAACGATAATATGAAATCAACGTGCAGTATCTTACATTATGCGCATATTATTTTTGTTATAAATATTTTCGTCCTATATTTAGCACTGTGCCATAAAATTATCAAAAACAAATTTCTTATGCTATAAAATTATTGATATTATTATTATTGTTGCGGCAATGACCTGGGCTACCTAATGTCCTTGTAATTGTATTTCTGTTGTGATATTTGTGTATAACTTGCATAATACATTTAGAATTATTAATCAATTGTTAAACATCAAATATTTTCTTAGACAACAATAAAGATTTATTGTATCAAAATGTAAAAAACCGCTATAAATTTGTTTCTTGTGAATATCTGTTACTAAGGCGGGTTGCTATAGTGTAATTAATTTCACGTACCCAATGAGCCACGATGATTTAACGTCATTGTGCTACACTCCTCTTTAACTTTGATTGCGTCCAGAATTGCGTCCGCACTTAAGATTCCGGTTGGTCGTACAACATTCAGCAAATCGGACATGTCCATCAGCGGCAAGCGTATAGCCCCAAGCACGTCCTTATCGTCTACGTCCGTGTTGGCCTTCTTCCATTCCATCACGGCTTTGAAAATTTCGATCTCCCGTGCATAAAATGAATCGCGTGATATTACATCTTTTAGCGCTTCCTGTCATAGAATACAATTATTATTATTATTATTAGTAGAATACAAATACAACACGGTTTGAGGTGAAGTAATGAATTCTACTTTTCAGGGGTCACAAGTCTCCTGCTACTCACGGGAGCCTCCCGGAAATTTTGACGGCTTCCCGTACTCCTGCAAGCAAGCAACAATCTCCCGGAAACCAATCTCTGCAAATTCATAAGTTTGCATATTTTCACTGCTTTATTTCAATTTTCAATGAAGCAGTGCTGATAGGTATCACTATGTGCAGGAAAATAAAATTGAATGTGCTAAAAAAGCTAATTATAACTAGATCAGTGGTAGATTCAAAGAGGTGAGGGAAGCCAGTCTGGGCCCCATAAATATTTAAAGATTACAAAATGGGGTAGAAAATATGTGGTCTAGACCCTCCATCTGTGAAAGTCCCTCTCTGACCCAATGCTCCCACCACTATCTGTCACTGCAGATCTTCCGGAAATGTACTTCCAACTTGGGACCCCTGACTCGAGGTGGGAATAGATGCGAAGCCGAGGGAAGTAGTCTCAATCGTCAAACACAGAGGGCAGTTGAATTCACTACTTTAACAAAATAAAACCATGTTGTATTTGCTTTACAACATCACAAATATTCATTAGATAACACTGTACATTACATCTTGATTTTTGATTATGTGAACACAGTACGTGTACACAGTACATTGCTTAAATATGGTTCATGTAGCCAGGCATGCGATAGTGGATATTGAGTAGTACTTAATTCCCCGCGTCCGCTTAAGTATGCATGCACAGGGCAGTAGTAAAATACCCAATTTCAAATAAACTGACCAATGAAAGTTATTACCTAATTAATATTCATGAGGTACTGTATAGCAATGAAGAATATTCGATATCTGTCTAGTAAAATTTTGAAACCTTCAAGCATTAGAACAAAACATGAAACGGCTACATCATAGGGATAATATTCATCGTAAATGTAAAGAACTATTGTTAACCAATGAGATGTTATTACCTAATTAATATTCATGATGTACAGCAGTAAAGAATCTGGTAAAATCTTGAAACCCCCAAGCATTAGAACAAAACATCAAAAGGCTGTATCATAGGAATACTATTCATCATAAAAGCGAAGAACTTTACTTTCAGGTTTCAGACCACTTTCAAAGGCCACATCAACAAGAGGAGGCCTCCAGTATGTTGTTGTATAATGTGTTAAATGTTTGTTTATGTCACATGACCTTAGATATGAGCATGTCATCATTGTTTTTTTTATTTTCAATGCAAAAAAAATAAACTGCTAACCATACTAACTAATATAGTTGGTGTCATTAATGACAATCAAACGTACCTTTGATAAACTTAGGAACGTCTCGCTGGTCATGACTTCACTTGCGTTTCTATCCATAAATGTACATGCTGTTTCCTTTAATGCGCAGAGCTGGTACAACGTGGCTACATTGTAGATAAGACAGACGTTGTGGATGCTGAGAATAGCGTGGAGGTAGTCAGAGATGGAGTCCTCCAACTCACGGAAGCCATAGCGATGAGCTAGGCCTAAGATATCCAACAGAGCATCTTCTTTAAGTTCCATCAGGCTCATTTTGCCTGTGTAGATGTACTTCAATAGGGCCTCGAAGGCCTGGGATGATGTAGCCTTAAGCTCTATGTCTGCCACTTCAGGGTCAGACTCTCTCATGCCACCGTACAGCAGAGCTCTGAATAATTGAAATAAAATATCATGTAAACCAACTAACATGGTTTTTTTTTTACTATGTTTTTATTCATAGTCAACAATTGCAATGCTAATGCTATTTCTATGTTTAGGCAATTTTTTCTTATACCTTGTTTTGCAAACCCACAGCCTGCCAATATTGATGATTTTGAATCAAAATAACATTTTATTTTTGGCTGGCCTATTAGTGCACTCGCCACCACAACAAGAAAAATGGAAACTGAGAAAAAAAAAATAAAAGTTTATCTTTATTTTTATTACGCTCGCCGCTGCATTAGAAATCTCCAAAAATAAGATATGTATATTTCTTCCTAATTATATAAATTTAAAGCATTTAATCATCCCATAATACTGCACTGTCTACATTCAACAATAACATTTTATTTTTATTTTCTCCTCTATCTGAATGTTTTTGGCAAACCTGTTTGCTAAATAGGAAAACAAATTATATTTTTTTCCGCCCTCCTTTTTGTTAAAAAAAAGGAATGAAATATGTCTTGCCTTACAATGAAAATATACTGAATTCAGGATACTGAATATAAGTTGTTAATGCCAAAATAAAAACCAACATTTTGTTTTAAATTGTAGCAAATATGAGGATGGAGGTTTGGTGGTTTTGGTGCCAACCTTGTTGAATGTAATCATTTGTTCAATCTGAATTTATTATTTCTAAATCAATGAAACTTAGAATATTTGGCAAGTGATCTATTTCTTTTATTATTTTATTTTAACTTTATTTCATTTCCTCATTTTTTCTTTATTAATCTGTTGTTTAATCTTCAATTACTTATCTTATCAGTTTATCATTTATATTTTAATTCTAGTTATTTCATCTGTAATAGTTTACATAGCATAATTATCTTGTTATTTTTTATAATTCTTTTTATTATATTTATCTTTTGGTATATTTATATTATTAAATAATTTTGTTTTCAATTTAATTTGATTCAATTAAAATTAATTACATTTATAATTACAATATCTACTAAAACAATCAAAAGACATTACAAGCAAAAAAGCTGGTAAATATCCTTATTCTAATGACAATAATGCATCCTGGGGTAGGGTATGGATGTTAAGGTTCTATCTTAGACTGTTTAATTATTATCTTATTTACTATTTGTTGTAAATCACCATTTTTTACCTGAAATATTCACATCTGGCTGCAAGGATGACTCTGTGTGCTGGAAAAATTCTCTGTTCGACGACAAGAGAAATATCGCTGTAATCCTCATTGGAGAACAAGTTACCGATGTCTTGTGATAGAATGTTGGTGTGGTGAACTTCACCGGTCGGCGCCGTTGTACGAAGCGAGTTTGTGTCACTCATCTTGGTAGTTCTGCTCATTTACACTTGGCTCTAAAATTTGAAATTAACTTTCATGGTGAACAACACAAGCTGAAATAAAAGAGAAAATATATCACGTTGTAGTCATAGAGGCCTATGCTAGACCTAAGCTTCTAGGCCCTAAATCGTAGGCTATATAATTACTACTTAATACCCTTCTCAATTGTAGTCCCGGCCTCATCCTTACCCGGGCCTAGAGTGGACTTAGCCGGGGATGTAATTTCCAAAACGGTTACATGCATGTGAAAGTCCCGGCAATGCAGGGCATCGTTTTAACGTACAGTACATCGCTTGCTAAGTCCCCGCCACTTACGGCCGCAATCCCGGTAATTCCTCGCTAATAAAGGATTAGATGATAAGACCTCCTTGAAAGTCTAGATTAGGTCTGAATCGGAGAAGCATGTGAGAGCTAGGCAGGAGCTAGGCCAAGGAAATGAGCTTGCTTGATGGAAGCACTACACATGCGTATCACTATTAAGCAGATTTCCATGGATGTTTGGAAAAGTGCAAAAAAAAAGGAGTGTATCGACAGATTGATCATAGAAAAAGAAAATAATTGATTGATTGATTTAACTGATTGATAGAATTTAATTATTCAATATCAAAACAGAAATTAAGCCTATAAGAAAATGAATACCGATACATGTAGTAGAAGCAGATTTCCTTGCCTTGGCTCATGTACTGGCGTATTTTTGACGCAAACTAGGTCAAATTCACGGTTCACAAATTTTCACGCAACACACTCACACGCCCCGCCACCTCGGTCCTCGGTGTTGTGTGGTTGGAGGTTCAAATTTTATTATGTAATTTATACCGTGATCTTTAATAAATGAAACCATGATGGTAGTAGGCCTAAAGTACCGGTAGGCGATTTTTTAATTACCAAAACCCAGTAGTTGTTGACTGAATGCCTAGACCTAGTGTAGACTAGGTAGGACCAGACCCGGTTTGACAGCACACTTGGCCTATGCCTATACACACCCAAAACCATGGCTATTTCAACGTTTAAAATTCCCGGCCCATCCAAGTATAGGCCTGGGTCCATGGGGGGGGGGGAGGGGGGGGGCGGGACTACAATTGTCATGTGTATAATTAATAATATCGCTGTGTCTAGGTATACGGTACCGTATTTCTACTTCATTGTGTGATGGTCACGTACTGCCATTTACTGTTCCTTGAGCAAAGGAAGTAAACTAAAAGCTTTAGGCCAACTTCGGCCGCCAACACCTTCGGCCGCACCCTCTTGAACACCAAAATGTATGGAGCGCCCTTTGAGTGCTTTGCCGAATGGAAGTTGAATGCGCGCTATTGTTTGTCACGCTGATATACAGTGGTTGAATGAGCACTATTATATCTATTCAATTCTTAACCTCAAATTCAGAAACACTCAAGCTTACATTGTTACAGATAGGCCTATACACACAGAACATGTCGCAACAATTAATATTAATAGTGTGTTAAAATTTCAGTGATAAAATTATATAATTTGTTAAAAAATCGTTACGAATTAAACATGGCAAACTTTGCGCTGCCACTTACACCATGGTTAACAAAAGCAACATATTTGCAAGATTTTTAAACATTTTGACGATAATAATTGTTAAAGGTAAACATCATTGCTTGTTATCGATTATACATGTGCACTTGTTTACTATTCAGTAATGTAAATATAAAGACCTGAATTTTAAATCACCAATAAATTAAATATTTGATTGAGTAAATTAATTGATTGGCTTTAATGATATAAAGTGTATGTACATTTAAGGGCATGAGAATAGAGAGATATTCCTAAAGAATTTTTATTGACTAATGATTGACAAATTTACTCTAGATTTCTTTTTCCAACTCTTGTAAATAACACACATTCATCACCCTCGCTAATGCGTTATTTTACATCCGATCTTGTATGAAAAGATAACATGAACAGACAACAAACATAAAAATAAAATTATTTAAAAAAATGTTTTATTTTGTCGATAAAGGACGAAATTTGTGCACGTGTATCATTCTAAATTTTATTTGACGAAATTCTATTTTGTGGATAAAGGAAACTGACGAAATATGAATAAAAATACAGTAAAAAAAAGCGTTTTGTAGTCTATTAATAAATAAAATACTGGAGCTTATACTTATCCCTAGACACAGCATAATAATTAATATTATTAAATAAATCTATAAAAAAAAAAAAAAAAAAAAATACAGGACTCTGGTGAGACTAGCCTAGCCCCTATGCCTAGACAGAATTAGAAGCGTCATCAACTGCTGGCACTATACAGGCCTAGCCTAGGCCTATTCATATTCTAGTAGAGCAACAGACACTAAAGTCTCTACACACGCTCACATAGGCGCAGGGTCAATCTTCAAAACAAAGCAAAACCAGCCTAGCCTGTGGCGAGGCTGAACAAGGCGTATATCATCATTAAATAAAGGTGATATTTTTACAAAAATGACAGTACTTACAACAATTAAATATTCTCCTGATAGTTGCTTCATATATTAGAAAAGTTTACATTACACATTCATTTTGTTCAGTCCGCAAGCAGACTTCCTTTATTTACAGTTTCTGCCCATTCGGTTGTGTTGCGTGTGAACCCCCGATCAGAGCAAACCACCTCGGTTGCATTTATGGAACGCCGTGGATGTTAAATATAGGCCCTATATTTTATTATACCGTAAAACACTCTTTTTTGCGACCCTTGGATGGGATTAGCATTAATCTAGGCAGCCCTGCTAAAAAGATATACTTTTTCCATTAAGCGACTTCTACAAAATGAAATGCTTGACATCCTGTTGACCAAAACTTAATTTTAACCATGCTACAATAAAATAATATTTTCATTTTCGAGATATTAAGCCCATTTGGGCTTGTTGTATGCGAGGTTTTATTATTTCTGTTAAGTTGCAATTAGTTTTTTTGCGTTCAATTTTGTCACAGATTGACTGGACTATTACTTGTATAATATTAACAATTAATAATAATAATAATAATAATAATAATAATAATAATAATAATAATAATAATAATAGTAATAATAGTAGTAGTAGTAGTAGTAGTGGTGGTGGTGATAGTAGTGGTAGTAGTAGTGGTAGTGGTGGTAGTGGTGGTGGTGGTGGTGGTGGTGGTAGTGGTAGTGGTAGTGGTAGTGGTAGTAGTAGTAGTAGTAATAATAATAATAATAATAATGTTATTATTATTATTATTTTTTTATTATTATTAATAATAATAACAACAACAACAACAACAACAACAACAATAATAATAATAATAATAATAATAATAATAATAATAATAATAATAATAATAATAATAATAATAATAATAATAATAATAAGTGGGATTTGTAAAGCGCATACACATAAAAAGATGAGTCTTAATATGATTCTTTGAAATCCCCACAGGATGCTCCGAAAAAATAGGCAAGTTATTCCACACCGTGGGAGCAGCAACGGAGAATGCTCTTTCCGACATGGAGGGACGAACAATGTACGATGAACTAGATGTAGATCTGAGAGCTCTAGAACAAATGGTGGAGCAAAGTTTAATCAGGTTGGATATGTATGAGGGTGATTTATTATTTAATGATTTATATGTGAAAAACAACAATTTAAAAGAGGTAACAGGTAACCAGTGCAGGCGACGAAGAGTACCGTAGGTGATATGCTCAAATCTAGAAACTCCTGACACGACACGTGAGCCATATTCAAAAGAAGTTGCAGCTTCTTTTATATATCTTTGAGGAAGTCAATGGAGTATAACATACCGGTATTATTATTAGGCCCGGCGGTGTATTCAAATCAATTCAATTCATTTCATGATCAATCTTTTATTTCAGACAAAAAGTCCATGTTTTATATAAGTCCCCTTGATAATAGAACCAAATGGACGTAAGTTGACAAAAAATACAACGCATTTAAAAAATAACACAAAAGATTTAAAAAATCTCTAAAATACGAATATGCAGTAAGACACAAAATAGTGCGGGGAAAACCTAGAACCACCACGTTAAAACCACTGTACCCGTAAATAAAATTTGGTACCCCAATTTGCTTTAGCCAAAAAAAACGCATGCGCACGTACCGGAAAGTGTGACGAACGCATTTCCTCAAGATCCAACCCACAACAACGGAGAAAGTGATTATTTGTAGAATTGCGCAGCTAATACGTTTCATAAGAATACCTTGTATGGCGTTGTCTCGGTATATCCACAGCAAAAGACAGTGAATGCAGCAGTCCATTCGCGCTAATAAGTTCGCCTAGTGTAAAACCGACTTAACGATATATTATACGTCTACAATGCAGTAGTTAGGCCACACCATAATAATGTTTTAATTCATAAGGCTGCAACCAGAAACACCGATGCATGCCGAATTTCGGTCACATGGTGTTGCGTGCTGGTAGCAACACTAAACATAGCAAAATCAAGCAAGTCTATTGGCTGTGGAAATAAACACTGAATAATACATACTTCAGTCAGTCGAATTATAGACTCATACTGCATTGAATCTGTTGCGAATGACTTCTACCAGGGATTAGATAGGTTGTATATATTCACCATTTTTTTTATAGGCCTATATATACATTATGGCAAGAAGTCTTTCTCTAACGTTATTTATTTTTATCTGGTTTCCTCTAATGCTGATGACGATAATTGGAAACTTCATTGTTATGCTCACTGTGTTTCGTAAACGTTCGCTAGTAAAAACTCCGAATAATATATTTGTGTCATCTTTAGCACTTTTCGATTTCTTAACCGGCCTTATTGGACTTCCTGTTCTGATGGCTCCCCTATACGAGGGACACTGTGAAGAAATATGGTACAGTATAGCCCCCATTATAATTATCCCTGTCTCAGTGCTGAATCTGAGTGTGATGACATTTGACCGGTTTCTCGCGATTAAATACCCACTTCGACACCATGTGTGGATGTCACCTGAAAGAGCAATTAGAATTATTATTATTGTTGACGCTTGTGGTGTTTTTTACGGAGGAAGTCCAGTTGTTGTAGCTGCCGTTGCAAGCCTATTTGTGCCACTATCTAATGTGACGTTTGAATACATGGCGTTGGAATACGACTGCGGGATGGCAGCACATGTTGCAACGTACGGCCGAACTGTTAGCGATTACATTACGTTCCAATTTTTCTGCTTAACATTTCCTATGATGTTTATGGTATATGCGTATGTTTACTTCATTGCGTCAAAGAAAGGAAAGGAGAATGCAACACACCAGGGAAAGAATATTAGAAGACGAGAAATGAAAGTGACAAAAACCACGGCCATAGTACTTCTTTCTTACACCCTGTGTATTGCACCAATTTCTCTCAGACCCATTGTTATGGCATACGTTAATAGCCCCACATGGCTTTTGATTTACAAGTGGTCTTCAAAGTTTCTCATTTTTGCTAACTCGATGATGAATCCGTTAGTTTATGCAGGAAGAAGTAAAGAAATGAGAAAAGAATTCAAAGAAACCTTTAAATTCATCATTTGCAAGGTTTCATCCGGATCAAGAAACGCGATCAGTCAGACACAGTCACCCACTAGACGACAGTCGCCCAAAGGGGATTTGGTGACATCATCAACAAACTTGGCAGCTCGTTTCACCACTTCCTTTGACAACACTTGCGACGTTCCAGTGCAGGTACTATAGAAACAAACATTAGATATCATCACACACACTAATAGGATCAAAATACCAAACGCACTGCCCGATGTTCAACCGTTTCGCATTTTGTTACAGTTACGAATTAAAGAGAACAATATAGATGGTTCAACGTGTTGGACCAGCACACTGACCGAAAATTACCAGTACGACATTGGCAAGCATAACAATCTCTCTTTTTTTTTCCCAACTGAACTTAATTCTCTAATTTTGAATTCACCATTTCACTCTTATAATTTTTAATGTTAGTTTATTTCTTGGGATCACAATGCAACATATGAATATTTTTACCAGATTATTTTTCATCCTGATAAAATATGTGTATATATAATGAATTGTTCTGGATTTTATTAAGTATCTCGGCTTAAACTTTTAAAAATGTGGTATCTCAGGTAGATCTACCATCTGCTTATTTGGGACATGCTCGTACACATGTTAAGCGCAGCAGGAATGTTTAGAAATGTCGACACGTTTTTCTGAGTACAGTTGAGTCATCTTTACGTTTAATAAAATAATAAAATTTTAAATTTTAAAATATGAATTGCTTAATTTGTATATTCCAATTTATTTCCTGTGAATATTAGAAAAAAAAATCTTCTTCAATTAACGGGCGTTTGATTTTAAATATTTTCGTAAACGAATGAAAATTTTAGTTTTTATCCGAGACGTTTTAAATGAGAAAGTCATATTTTTGGATTGCAGTATATATTTAAGTAGAAGAAAATCAAACATAATTAGTTATCTGAATAAAAACCAGGTAATAAATTAATTATTATGAATCACCCTATATAAAACAGTTATAAACAAAAGCACCGTAGAGATTGACATATGAAGGATTTTCTCAAATGACGCCAAACTTTTATTCCGGTTGAATTAATTACGTTGCAAAGGCAACAGTTTTTAGTATGTAGGCCTATATTAATAAGCGTTAGGCCCACAATTTGAAATTGTTTAAAGTGTGTTTATTACTAATTGCGTAGAAAAATTAATTTCTAATATTTTAATAACATGAGTTAGAGCATCAAAGCAATTAGTGTCATCGATATCACATTAAACTGTAAATTAGATCCTAGTTGATTTGAATAGTTTTTTTCTCTCTCATGACAAAGCATGTTATCATTTCTAATTGAATAGTTAGTTCGAAATCGGCTTACACTTGAATATTGTTAAACGTCCAACTTCGATGTTCTCATTGTATGTAACCTTGGTAACGTTGCTTGTTCCTTTTTAATGATTTAGTAGGTCTGCTGTTTTTAATTTAATTCACTATCTGCCTGATATTTTGTATTTATTTATAGTCTTGTTCAACAATCTTTAGAAATTAATAATTGTTTAATACAAAATATCACGTAGTAATCCACGGTAAAATTAAATGTTTTACTAAATGATAAAGTGTACAAAATGACGTTTTACCTAACGTCTGTCGTCACTGTTGTCGCCGTCGCCCCTACCTCGCCGCTATGTAATGACGTCGTCGTCGTTATTTTTGTTATTATATTATAATTATAGATGTTGTTTTAGAATTATTAAAAATGTAACTGACAAGTTGTATTGAGCTTGGTACCAAGACCGATACACGAAACATTATACAAGTGCACACATACGCCAACCCACCAACAATTAACAAATTAAGAAAAAGTTATCAAAACTTTATTAAATTACCCCATAAACATAAGCTCTTGAAACTAATAAAAAAAAGTCTCGCCTTAACTGTCTAAAAAATTGTGTGTTCCCTTTCTTTTCCAACCTTCGTGGTGCTCGTCCTGNTGTAAGGCACATCAAGATGTGTATAAGAGACAGTATACACTCATAGTAATTTGATAACCGTTGAGTTGATAGACATAAAAATAGATGTAGCACTCTGACTAAATTGAAGTAAAATTTATTCACAAGCTTTTGATGGCAATGTATATCAGCTTCATCATATAAAATTAATGTCTATCAAATAATGTCAGCTTCATCATGTATTTTGATTTGATTTATTCGATATCAACAGAACAACATCACAAAATCGGAACAACAATAAACAGAGAAACAAAAAAGAGAAAACAAGCAAGTCATCATTTTTGATAGGCCTACCTGGGATAACCCTCTAAATCCCAACACATGATTTATTTCCAGAGGGGTCCCAAAATACACAAAACAGACGACACCAAAAAAACATGAAAAATGAGTTAAAAATCAACAAGCAAGTATAAAGTATTCCAGAGAACAGAGGCAAAAACCGAGATCTTATGCAGTTAAAATAGTCACTATTAATTTACTAACCGATTAGTGAGGGGAGACATGACATGATGCTCCTTAACTCGAATTTTTAAGGTGTTGTAATTTGAAATTGTTTTTGCATCAGGCAGACTGTTCCAATCATGGATTCCGGAATAAAAGAAAGTAGAAGTGATTTTGCCTTTGGTCTTTGGAACGTGAAAGTTAAAAATTACTGCCCCATGTATTGTGACGATGACGATCGGATAATTTGGTGAAATTTTCATTTAAATATTCAGGGCAGGAACCATTAAATATTTTAAACATATGGTTGAGTCTTAATTGAGAAGCTCTAGAGGCAATGTTTAGCGTCCAATTCTAACATAACCATTAGCACTGATGGTATATAGGGCCTTCGTTTAAAATGAATCTAATAGTTTTATTTTGCGCTATCTGTAGCTTTTTCTTCAGGCCCGATGAAATTCCACAATACCATGATGATACAGAATAATCAAATATGCAGAGTATGAGGGCAGAACAAATGACTTTCTTTACCTTGCTATTAAAACACTTAACTTGCCTATACAAAATTTTAACCTCACATTGACTTTTGTTACAATACTGTCAACAATAGTGTCTGCAGAAAGTGTGTTATCTAATTCTAGACCAAGATATTTGACTTTGGGAGATGCAGCAATATTATGGCCTTTGCATGTAATATTATTTTATGTTTATGGATTCCTTCACATTAACGGAAGAATCAAAGAAAATTAGCTTGGTCTTTCCAAGATGTAGCGACATTTTTTGTCTAGAAGCCAGTCGACACAGCCTTCAAGGTCTGAGGTTAAGGTGTGTTTGATGACATCAAGAGACTTATCAGAATAGATCAATGCACTGTCGTCTGCATACTGAAGAAGTAAACAATTTTTTACGGCAGTGGGCATATCATTCACAAAGCATAGAAACAGCAGTGGACCGAGTATGCTCCCCCAGTGGCGGCTCTAGGATATATTTTCTGGGGGGGGGGGG